AGTGGGCTGACAGCAATGAGACAAGTCGCACCACAGGCGTCGCCCTTACCTCAGTAGTGGGCTGACAGCAATGAGACAAGTCGCACCACAGGCGTTGCCCTTACCTCAGTAGCGGGCTGATAGCAACGGACCAGACTCGGTCTTCAGTCTGGATGGTGTGTGAGCACTGCCCCAGCCGGCCTGAGCTCCAAGGCCACACCTGGAAACAGGAAAGGGAATGCTCTCATTGGCATGGCCTGGGCTTAGCGGAAAGAAAGACGTACTGGGGGTGACCTGCCCACGGAAGTAAGGAAATGGAGAACCCTCTTTGCTCTGCAACTCAGAATGCAGGTATCAGCAGAAGGACCTCTGCAGGGGCCGGGGAGATGGCTCAGTGGAATAAGTGCTTCTCTGGCAAGCGCAGGGGCCTGAGTTCAATCCCCGGTTCCGCAAAAAAAAAAAAAAAGAAAAAAAAGAAAAGAAAAGAAGGACCTCTGCAGCTTTGGGCTCGCCTACGTGCAGACAAGACCCCAGCACCCAGTCCTCACCACCCTGACTTCCACCAACGTCCATCATGTACCAGTCAATTTCATACCACAGGGGCTGGGGAGATGGCTCCGTGGAATAAGCACTTCCCTGGCAAGCGCAAGGGCCTGAGTTCAATCCCCAGTTTCAGGAAAAAAAAAAAAAATTCATACCAGAGAATCAAAAATTTTGCATTCCTCGGCTAAAATTTGACTATCACAGAGTGAGTAAATGGGGTTTGCCTTTCACAGCAACTTTCCCCTGTCCACAGGTTGTGCCTTCTATCTCTTACCAAGATTTCACTCTGGGCAAGCAGGGAGAAGAAAGTCAAAGTGTAATATCGGGGAGCAGGGATAATCAGAACACTAAAAAGTGGACTAAAGTGCCTGCTTAGGCAGGTGCAACTACCAGGCTTTGATCCCCGGCATGCAGTGCCAACCCCACCCCTGGGCACGCTGAGATGGCGACTGAGACTGGGCCTGGCGGTGCACACCTGTAATCCCAGCTCTAGGGAGGCTAGATAACTATAAGTCCGACCTGTGTAGTGAGACCCTTTAGAACCTATACTAAAATAATTAAAGAAAAAAAAAGAACACTAAAAAGTAAGCTGCAAGCGAAAGAAAAAATGGAGGAAGAGGAAGCAGGAAGGGGATGTGTTGTTGTCTGTTCATATTGCCTGCCCAGGACTCAATGCTATTCATGTCAACAGGGAATTTAGCACCTAGTGTCACCAAACGTAGCAGAAAAGCTTAACTTTTTTAAGCTTCCATATCTCCTACAGGTTAAAAATATTGCTTGGAGCACATTATCTGAACCCTATCAGTCAGGAATGTACATTAGCAGCCACTCTAGGCCTCACTCTAATCAACACCCATGGAGCCCTCTCAGCAGTCAGTGCATTTAGAAATCTCCCATTAGGCACTGCTCTCCCCCTTTACCTCACCTTACTCCAGATGACACACAAGGGATATAAATCTCTAACCAAGCAGCAAACCTCAAATGCACAGGGCTATCCCCAGACATAGCCACAGAGGGATCCCAAGGCAGCCAAACGGATCAGTGACCTCTCAAGGTCCCTGCTGTGCTATAAGAGGAACACGGTGAATACAGGAAGGACCTTAGATGGAAGAACTTTAAGAAAACATTCCTCTAGCTTAAGGGGTAGGTAATGGAGTGGGGGTGGTCCTGCCTTCTTGGGTCACATGGTGTCTCTTCTCTACGAAATGAAAAATGATTTTTCTTAGAGTGTGTGTGTGTGAGTGTGTATGTGTGTTGGGGTGATGTGTGAGGACCTCTGTAACTTTTCTAGGGAAAAAAATTTCACTAGAAGGTCCTGAACAAGGAGAGTCAAAAAGCAAAGTCAGACTCTGCAATTCTCTCCGGAATGCCAAGATCCCAGTTTTCTCTGGGCTTTATAGTCAGCCTCTTTTTGTTAACAACTACACATACTTCTGATTTCCTCCTTTAGACTGCCCAGGTTGAAAGAGAGCCTTCACTTGCCCCTGATATGGTCTCCCTGGGAGACAGGTTGTTGCCTGCAGGGGAAGGGGGCACTAAGAAACCTGATTTATAGACTCTCTAGGGACAGCACAAATTCACTAGTCGTGCCCTCTCTGGAGAGGACTGGGAGATTCCTGGACTCTTCAAAGCACAGAACAAGGTTCCTGGTGTCTTGAAGCAGCTCAGGAAGCATCTCACCAATCACAAGCGTGGCCTGGAAAAGCCGCTCTCCGAGCCTGCATCAACAGCACTACGCACTTTAGCAGCCTGAGTGTCCTTGGGCCTGAGGGACAAGAACTGACACGTGTGGTGGGTGTATCTCTACCCTCAATGGTCAAATTCATAACACATCTACATTGGAAAATAAATATACAGTGAGAATGGACATTATATAGCTCTTTAAAAAAAACTGGGGGTAGCAAGACTATTAAAATGAACAAGGCTTTTAACTCAGAATTCTAAAGCTGAGGGCAGGCAAGATAGCTCAGCAGGGGCGAGGGAACGGCCCAGTGGAATAAGCGCTTCCCTGGCAGGTGCAAGGGCCTGAGTTCAATCCCCAGTTCTGCAAAAAAACAAACAAACAAAAAAAAAAACCTGAAACTTTAAGAGTTGTGGTTATTAGATATTTTGTCTTAGCTATAGGAAAGCTAATAGAGTATCTCAATGACATGCCAATCCTGATAAAGTCCAGAGAAGCTATAGAAACTAAGTTACAGTAAATCTGAAGCTGAGATTGGGTAGAAGGGAAGGAAAAGGGAAAGTTCTGGGGCAGCACCTGGCTCAAAAGTTTTGCAAAGAGAATGTTTTGCTCCTTTCATCCCACAACAAGCATCTCTTTCTTGAAAGACAGTACATGTTCATGAAATCTCAAATAAATAGGTAATAGAGGCTTGTGTGTATAACGTTACTTGTACGATCTGCTACGGGCCTAGGTGTAGTAGAAGTCTACAGAAATAGCCATAAAACTGATATTACTGAAAAGAATTGGAGAACCAGTTATAAAAGACAAACTGTGAGGGGCCGGGAAGATGGCTCAGTAGAATAAGTGCTTGCCTAGCAAGCACAAGGGCCTGAGTTCAATTCCTGGTTCCTCAAAAAAAAAAAAAAAAAAAAAAAGACAAACTGTGAGTAATGTGGAAACAAGCCTAGAAATGGAAGGTAGAGTGACATGTGGACAGCGGCAGCAAGGAGGAGCTCAGCTGCATCCGGAGCACCAGACAGGAGGCGCCAGCCCAGAGGCACAGCGAGCTCATGCCAGCCGGCACTGCTCGGAGGCACAGCTGAGGCGCAGACGGACAGACACGGCAGCTCTGTCCAAGTCTAAAAGGCACCCTCAAAAGGAAAAGGGTGGCACAATTTTTAAAAGTACGGAGTATGTATTTTAAATCTTTTTAAAACTCCAAGCTATTATCAATATTTATATATGAAATAAATCTAGTATCAAAATAATTTGCTATCATTCTTCAATTGTAAGCAATCTGTGCCCTCAAATTGCTACACATAGTTAAAAGCTTAGTTTATACTGTTCTGGGTGTCAGAATACAGCAGATAGAAGAAAAAGATGTCACTAAAAAGGAGGTGCCAGGGAGAGCCAAAGCTATGACAGGAAGCTACTAGACTGAGAAGGCAATGTGGAGGTCACACGCGCCACAAACTGTCTACACGAATGTTGTTTTGAGCTGAAATGCAGGTCAAGGCCAGTATCTTTGCAAGGAAAACTACCCAAGCCACGATCAGCCAGAAACCTGAAGTGCTGGGGGGAAAGGAGAAGCAATGATCGGAAATGCAGTTTCCAAGTTGGTCCAAGACACTCGTAGGATGTGTCCTAGGTTTCCTGTGCTGATACGCATTCTCTGACTCAATATAAAATGTAAGACAAAAAGCAGCAAAGGCAGAAGCTTGATAAATAGAAGGGAACCTATTTAGTTCTTTTTATACAAATTAGCAATAGGAGGAATTACTAGAGGGTAGATGGAACCAGCAAAGTTCCTGAGAATAAACTTGTCATTCCCCTTCCTGCGCCACTCCCTGTGTTTTAGGAACCCATTTGCTGATACCACTAAGCACTAAGCTGCTGCTGCTGGCACTCAGAGCCTCTAAATGCTGGGAAGCAGGTAAGCAAGACACTGCTGGGCCTCTTGCACAACAACTAAATTATCAGAAAAGTTCCAAGAAAAAAGTTCCTACAGCTGCCCGCCTGGCCAGGCTCATGTCCTCGCGAGGGCTATAGCATGTGGGCATGGAGAACTTTTTCTGTTTCTTTTTTCTCTGGGAGCCTCCTTGTCCCAGATGTAGGCAAGCTGAGTCCACAAAGCAAGAGTCATGCTGTTTACCAACCTCACTGCGTTACGAAGGCCTGGCAGTGATGTAGCAACCACCACTTTTATCCTCTCTACTACTCTCTGATCATTCTCCAAACAAGCAGTAAAACACATTTTAATTATCAGCCTAATTGCTTATAAACAAAGTGGTGAAAAATTAACCTCCCTAAACAGACATCAAGTGAAAGGAGGGGGATTTTTAAATAAAATATTGGGGTCAGAACTCAACCCACAAATTTAAGGAAACATCCCAGGCCCCGTTTTTGAGTTTACGCCACATTTCAAGTGAGTGGCAGGCTTCCCAGCCACTGTCCACTCCTGTCCCAACCCAGCTGGCAGGGACAGCCTGGCGGGGCAAGCTGCATGCCAGAAGCACATAAGTGAGCTCTTTATTGTGTCATGTCTCCACTGCCCCCACTCAATGTTCTCAGCCAATCCTGGAACCCAAGGCCCACTCCACCTCCCCCACGAACTCCCAACAGACAGGATGGAACAGCAGTGCGTAAGGGAGACCGCCTCACCTTAGCCGTCCTGTCCCTGGAGCCACTCACAACGACACCCCCTTTGCAGTCCACACAGTTCACCTCCTGCTCATGAGCCAAGTACTTGATAGCAAAGGTGCTGCGAGTCTGATGAATGCCAATCTTCCCATCTCTGGAGAGAAATAAGGAGCCCACCCCACGAGCCAGTCACTCTCCTGCAGGACAAGAACCAATGTACAGAAACAGCCCAGGTCTCCAATAATGCCCCAGATTTGAAAAGCAGGAGACAAGTGCTGAGCTTCTGGATTCTTACATGTTTAGTACACTTAGGGCTGAACAGAGCTGAAATAAAACCAACTTCTCCCTGGAGAGGCCCAAGCTCAGCTTCGCTCTGCATTAAAGACTCCTCCTGTATTCCTTCTCCAGCTAATCTTGTGAACTGTTTTTTTTTGTTTTGTTTTGTTTTGTTTTGTTTTTTTGCGGAACAGGGGATTGAACTCAGATCCTTGCGTTTGCCGGTCAAGCACTTATCCTACTGAGCCATCTCCCCAGCCCCTGTGAACTGTTTTTGCTAACTCGGCTTTAAACAGCAAAATTAATTCTAAAACCGCCACCACCCCTCCTAGTCTCAATCCTCATCCCTTTGTGACTGAGACAGTGAAGTCAGAGGCAGATGTGGGGCTTCTGAAGAGGACGGAGACAGCCTTCCGCACTTACCCTCCTGCACTGATGATGTGTGAGTTGGCCAGCACAAAGTGGCAAACGTCCTCACCGTGCCCAGCAAAGACTGCCAGGGGCCGGCGGTGCACGCTGGCACCATCTGGGCGGAACTGGTAGGCCAGGATGAAATCAGCCTGGGATATGTAGAGAGAATTGCCCTCCAGTTGCATCCAAGGCATCTGGCTGCAGAGAGGGAGAAGAAAATGTAAGACTGATGCCCCGGCCTGGCCTCCCCATGGCTGACCTGCAAAGTCCCAGGCCTGCATCTCTGCCTTTCCAGGTTCCCACTCTCAGCTTCCTTCAGAGAGCTAGCATAAATCTGAGCTTTTTTTTTTTTTTTTTGGTGGAACCAGGGATTGAACTCAGGCCCTTGTGCTTGCCAGGGAAGCGCTTATTCTACTGAGCCATCTCCCCAGCCCCTATAACTCTGAGCTTTGTGGTGACATAATCTTCAAACTTTTAAAAATTTTATTTATTTATTTATTTATTTATTTATTTATTTAGTGCAGGGTCTTGCTAGGCAGCGCACACATGTAGTGATCCTCCTGCCTCAGTTGCCCCAGTGCTGGGATTGCAGGCGTGTGCGATCATGCCCAGTTTCTGTGGCCAGCCTAGTGCCACCAAGGCCGGCATGGCATGCAGTACTGGGGACCAAGCCAGGGTCACTGCACTTGCCAGGCAGGTGCTTAGACAGCCACCTATCTCCCTCGTCCAATCTTCTTCAAACTTTCCAAAAGAGAGTTGGAACTGTAAGACCAACTTAATATCTCCTTTAATTGAAGAATGCTTAATATTTGAATTAGTGGCTACCTGTATTTCTCAGCATAGGCAGAATTTAAAAAATTAAATGGCTGATATCCAGGTATCATGGCACTCTGGGAGGCTAAAGCAGGAAGACTACAGGTTTGAGTCCAGCAAGGACAGGTTAGCAACTTAGTGAGACAACATTTCAAAATAATAATAATAATAATAATAATAATAATAATAATTTGAAAGTGCTAGAAAGCAGCTTAGTGAGAAGGCCTTGGATTTAATCCCAGTACTACAAAGAAAAAAATATTGAATAGTTAGGAAGTAGAAAGGAGCAAAAGGAAATCTAGTAACATAACATTCCTTCAATCTCCAAACTGGTTGAAGTAACTCTCTTTGGTTCTGCATCTTTAGACAGATCAGTCAGAATCTGCGGGGAAACGGTAATGGAGAAAGAGAAGAGCATGCTCTGGGAAGCCCCATCCCTTTGTTCCACTAGACCAAAGGGACCATCTATAGGTCAGAGAAGTGAGGCCCTTTAAGAAGAAATGCTACTTTACTGACGAGATGCCCCTGTCCTCCCAGAGACATTCATGTATCTGTACTGGAAGGCAAGTGTGACAATGGAAAAGGAACTTCAGAACAGGGACTGCTGAGAAAGCCAGCTGTCACAGCAACTGATAAGCCAAGTTCACAAACAGCTAAAGATTTCCTTTCCAACCTGCAGGCGGAAGAAAGGTTAGAAGCCACAGGCCAGTGCCATGGCCCAGCACAAGCCTTCAGAAGAAAGAAGGCCCTGTAAGAGACTGCACTTTGGGGGGATGATGAGCCCCCTTTCCACCACAGGCAGCCCACCTGCCTTACCCTACCAGGGCCCAAGAAACACAGAGGAATAGCTGACTCATCCCAGGTACAGACACCATCACCCACTGCCAAGCCTTTCTGAGCAAACAGGGCTGTTTCTTCCCCACACTCCTCAACACAAGCGTCATGGGAATGTGGAAAAGTTCTGCAGACTGACTTGACAGGCCATTAAATGCATCTTGGACTTGGTGGTGGTAACTGAGTCTCTACCCAGGAGGCCTTCAGGAGTGTGCGCAGGTATGACAGGGCACATGTGCAAATGTGTTCAGATGTTTACATTCTCAGTCATTACGTACATTCCTCTTCAACATCCCATGCATAAGTGTGTGGCACACTCAAATTGGTAGCAAACAGGCATTGGAATTCATGAGTTTAGAGCCATCTGGTAAACAGCCATTTGCTTAGAACAAGAAACAAACCAAGTTCATACCAGGTGAATAGTAGAGAACCCCAGGGCAGCCTGGTGACTGTTTATGTGTTTATTTGCCAAACTGCTTGAAACTAGCCCAAAAAGACAACATTAAGGACAAAGCTTGATAGAGAACTAAACTCTACTCGCTGGTATTCAAAAGCACAAGTAGAAAGTGAGGCTAAAGTCCTTCATTATACAAACCTACCCTCTTTTCCATGGTTTCGTTGGCATCCGCACCACCACATAACGCACAGCAGATGATGCTAGTGACACCAGGGGACACTGGGCACAAGTGAACAGGGAAGGCTCGGCAGATGCCGCTCAGCGGATGCCTCTGCCTGCCAGCACAAGGACATGTCGCTCCTACAATGGGAAACCCATGAAGTTCTCTACTTACTACAACCAATCAGTGAGAAGCACATTTTAGATGGGGAGCCAAATGTTATCTACAGGGGGCCTGCCCATTAGCTCAGTTAAGTGACTGCTTAAACAGAATAGTCAGTCTCAGGTTGCCGTGGTTCGATCCCCAGATGCTCAAGCCATACTAGACCTGCCCTGAAGGCAACCTGAGCCAGCCAAAAAAAAAAAAAGGGGGGGGGGTTCAGTAGAATAAGTGCTTCCCTGGCAAGCACAAGGGCCTGAGTTCAATCCCTGGTTCAAAAAAAAAAAAAATTAAAACTCATGTTATCTATAAAATAATTCAGCATTGATGCAGCATAAAATTTGTGGCATTAATAGTGCCGAGGCATTGCCATACTCTTCTCATCACGAGGACAAAATCCCGAATACCGACAACTATAAGGAGAGGAGGCTTATTTGGCTCACAGCAGTCCATAGTCAGCTGGCTCCATTGCATTATGACACAGCAGAGGGGTAGAGAACAGCAAAAACTGCTCACTCACGGTAACCAGGAAGCAGGATATAAAGGAAGAGCCAGGAAGGCATGGACCCTTCCAGGCCATGCCAGATCCCACCTTCTAATGAACAGCACGTCAGCTACACCGCCCCATAATCCAGTAGCCTCCCAAACACATGAGGCTTTGGGGGTCAACTAAATCTTAATACCCATCACTTCAATTTTCTGGCACTTTGTCTAAGTTTTATCCCTATAGCATGTATGTCTACATGCTTAAATCCTATTTTCCTTTTAACAAAGTAGAGGAGTTGGAGGTAGGAATGTCGCTCGGTGACACAGCGCACTTGCCTAGCAAGTGCAAGACTCCTAATCCAGTCTCTAGCGTACCACACACACCTGTAGGAACGAGAGCTAAAGAAAGGGAATTAGTAACTCCCTGGAGCAGAAGAGTGAAAGAAAAGTAATTATAAAATAACACAGAACCTGCCTGGCAAGTGCAAGGTCCTGAGTTCAATCCTCAGTACCAAAAAAAACCACAAAAAACAAAAAACCACCAACCAACATAGATTGGATCACTGGCTTCATTTGTATCTTCTGAGGGGTTAACAGTTTGCCTATGAGTGGTGAGAATTATAAGTTTTTATTTTCTTTATGTTTACAATTCTTTATCAATATTTTATAATAAACTTTCTTTTTTTTTTTCATTTAATTTGAGCCAGGGTCTTGCTATATAGTTCAAGCTAGCTTTGAACTCACTAGGTAACGCAGGCTGGCCTCAAACTTGCAGTAATCCTCCTGTCTCAGCCTCCTGAGTACTGGGATTCCAGGTATGCACCACCACACCTGGTTTAATAAACTTCTTATAACCATAAATACATATAATTTGTTAAAATACATTTTTATAACTACTTTTTTAAATGCAAAAACAAGCTGTCCCTCTGATGCCCCCTTTGTGGCATTTAGCGACTCACCAATACCACCCCATGCCAGAGAGCCTCCCTTACACTAGAAGACAGTGTTTCACTTCCCATTATGCTCTTCTGTCCCAGAAAGCGTTAAAAGTCAGAAGACTTACCTGCATCGCCACTTCAGTAGAATTCCCTCTCGGCAGCGCCCCAGCCTCCAGTTCTGAGACACCTTCACCCGTTCCTTCACTGGGACACTGCTCATCCTACATCCAAAAGAACAAAAAATCCAGTCACTACCACACATTTGCGAGAAGAAAAAAAATTCATGGGCTTACTCAGTCAGGACTTGGGATCACCTAGGATATAACCAAATATAAATAAAGGGATTAGGAGAACAAGGAGGTTAACTCTTCTCTCCATACTTGGAGAAGCAGGAAAACCAAGGAGAAAAGCCTTCTCATTAAACTACTACGTTTCTACACTGATGCCAAAGCAATCTAATAGAAAACAGACCATAAATAGTTTGGGAACTTCTGAATGTCCATATGGGAAAAAAATGAACCCTGACCCTACACCTAACACCAAACAGGAAAAGTAATTCAAAATAGATCATAACCCTAAACAGGAAATCTGAAACTACAAGGTATTAGAGGAAAAGGGAGAAAAGCATCTCTGCCTAGGCCGACAGGCCAAGTTTTCTCAGGACACAGAAAGTAGTAACGCAAAAGAAAAATCCAATAAATCAGACTTGATCAAAATTTAAAAATATGCTCACCAAATGAATACACAAACCACACTCTGGAAAAAAAAAAAAAAAAAAAAAAAAAAATAGGTAAAAAAAAAGCACATGTCCACAAAAAAAAAAAAAAAAAATTACACACGAATGTTCAAAAAAACTTCAGTCATAATAGCCTAAAGTTGTAAACATCTCCAGCAGCCAACAGAAGAGTGGATAAATACATCGGGATAATTTCATACAATGAAATACTTAGCAAAAAAGAAGAGGAAAATATCAATAACACAGTAATGTAGATGAATTACAACAATCACACTGAATAAAAAAGCATACACAGATGAATTCATATTGTATGATTTCATCACATGAAGTTGAGACAAGGGTTAACTAACCTATAATGTAAAAATCAGAATACCAACTACCACTAGAGTAGGAAATAGACAGGACAGACATGTAAAAAACGCTCTGGCTTTATGTTCACTATCTAAACCTTGAAAAGCTTGGGTTATATAACACATATGCACTAGTTAAAAATGTATTAAATAGCTGGGCATGGGGGCACATGCTATAATCAGCACTGGGAGGCTGAGCTGGGAGGAGCATCACAAGTTCAAGTCCAGCCTAGATTAGACAGTCAATTCAAGGCCAGTCTGAATTACCTAGTAAGATCCCATCTGTAAAAAAAAGCCTTAAAAGATCTAGTTTATGGCCTGGGGAAACAGCTCAGTAGAATAAGTGCCTGCCTGGCAAGCGTAGGGTTCTGAGTTCAATTCCCAGTACCACAAAGAAAAAAAAAAATCTAATTTAAATATGAGCACTTTTCCAGGTATAGTATAATACCAACATTCTAGGCAGTTGAAGCAGAAGAATCAAAGTTTGGGCCTATTCTAACTTAGCAAGATAATTTAGCAAGACCTTATCTCAAAATTTATTTTTCTTATATCTTAGGGAAGGGTCTATAGGGTCTTCAGGGTCTCACTACTAGATCGAACTCATAGTGATCTGCCTGTTTACTGCCTCCCAAGAGCTGGGATTATAGGGGCACACCACCATGCCCAGTTTCAATTGCCGTACTTTGGGGGCAGGGCTAGCACAGCAGGCCTGAGATTGAACCCCTGGCCTCTGCGCCTGCAGGCATTTTAATCTGCTGACCTATTTGGCTGGCCCTCAAAATTAAAAAAAAAAAAAAAAGAAAGAAAGAAAAAGAAAAATTTTAAAGGAACAGAGCTATAACTTAGTATGAAGACCTTGGGTACAATTTTATTCAAATATAAATTCACTATAAATTTTTATTCTATAAATTTTCTTTAAAAATGTAACACATTAATCAGCAATATGCATATATGTTGAAATATTCAGGACTAAAGCACACTGGCTGGTATCTGTAAATTACTTTGAAATGTACAGCTAAGCAAATAATTCTAAAACCTAGGGGGTAAGCACACAAATGTTCATTGCAAAATTCATTCAACTTTTTATTTATTTTAATTTTTTGCCTAAAACAATATTGGCTAAGGAGTATAAGCAGCATTGCTTGGGTGAGAAAGGCAACAGCCCCCAGCGTCTGGGCTGCACACCAGCAGTGAGAAGGCACCATTCAGGGCTGGCTGCAGAGGGAGAAACGCTCAGAGCCTCGGAAGAGTGCACGCTTGCACAGTTTCGAAATCACGGGCAAGAACTGGCAAATGCCATCTCAGGCTGCCCATAGCTCGCCTCTGTCTTCGTCCTTGCTCTGCTGGGTCACGTACGCACACTGCTTGAGATACGAGTGATGACCGCAGCGTTGGTCCAGCAGTCCTGGCTAAGGAGAGACACACGTGTCCCCAGGCTCTACTTAAGCCATCACTCTCATCACCTTTACTGAGGGCGGGGAATTCTTGCTTGCAAGATTTTAATGGGTATATAGAAAGAATAGGGCCCGGGGAGGTATCTCAGTAGAGTAAGCAGTGAGAAGGGTTCAACCCTGTCAAGCGCAGGGCTCCGAGTTCAATCCCTGGTGCGGGGGGTGGGGGGAGAGAGAATGTTTTGGAAGGCAGAAAGATAACTAATGAATTTCTAGATAAACAGTTTTCTGCCTTCTGGCCTTATTTTATTTGCACTGAACAATTATTTTTGGTCACTAAAATAATGAATGCATGGGGTAAAAAAATATATAGTGTGAAATGTTAACAATACAAAAGTCAAGACCTTCCTCCTCTCTAAAGGGGTGTGTGTGTGTGTGTGTGTGTGTGCACACACGCACACATTACTGGTATGTGAGTATTGGTATATGAAAAAATATTCCCACATATATTCCTCACCTCTCTCTCCCTCTGCAGTACTGGGAATTGAGCCCAGGGCCTTCACACTGAGCTACAGCCCCAACATTTTGTTTATTTTTTATTTTGAGACAGGGTTTCACTAAGTTGCTAAATTGTCCAGGTTGGGTTAGCGCTCCTAGTCCTCCTGCTTCAGCCTCCCAGAGTGCTGGATTTATAGGCATGGATCACCAAACCTGGCTTCTCTGTTTAATTAAAAAAAAATTGGCATATTATTCCACATATGGCTTTCCTCATTTTACCATATATTTTGAGAATCACCCCACAATAATGACTTTAGATCCATCTCACTCTCTTTAATAGGTGCACAAGATTCCATTGTGTGACTCTACCATATTCTACCATAATTTATTTACCAGCCAACTACTTATTGGTATATATATTGCTTCCAGACTTTTGACATTATAAACAATGTTGGAATAAGTGCTTTTATATGCAAAGAAAAATATTAGAGATGGTACTGAACGGGTAAAGGAAATGGTGCATCTATAATTTTGGCAGACGTGGTACTGACAAATCGCCAAGATGATAAACCAACTTTCACTTCAAACAGCCTATTTTAGTGTTTATTTCTAAGTATCTTTGATTTTCTTCCATTAAAAAAAACAACAACACTTTTTAAAGTTTGAAATAACTTACAGAAAAGCAAGGAAGGGGCCGGGGAGGTGGTTTAGTGGAATAAGTGCTTCCCTGGCAAGCACAGGGCCTGAGTTCAATCCCCTGTTCTGCCAAAAAAAAAAAAAGAGAGAGAGAGAGAGAAGAAAAGCAAGGAAGGGCTGGTCACGGTGGCACATGTCTGTAATCCCAGTACTCAGGAAGCTGAGGCAGATGATTAATGTGAGTTGAAGACCAACATGGGCTACACTGTGAGTTCAAGTCCTGCTTGAACTACATAGTAACACCCTGTCTCAAGAAAACAAAGCAAAAATAGATCACACCCCCCCACCGAAAAAAAAGGAAGAAAAGCACAGAAGACTCAGCAGGCACGGTGGCACACGCCTATAATCCCAGCACTTGGGAGGCTGACATAGGAGAATGGAGAATCGTTGTGAGGTTGAGTCCCGCCTGGGCTACAAAGTGAGCTCAAGGCCAGCCTCAACTGCAGAGTGTGATCCTGTCTCAAAAAAAGGAGGGGACATGCCTCCCCACCAGGGGGGCTTGCTGAGAGGGCACTTGGGTATGGTGGTGCGCACCTGTAATCCCAGCACTTGGGAGGCTGAAAACAGGAAGATCACTATGAATCCAACCTATGTAGTAAGACTCTATAAACCCTGTACTAAATACATTTTTAAAAAACGAAAAAAAGAAAAGAAAGCTATGATTGGAGCATTAGAAATCTGAGGCCAGCATGAACAACTCAGAAAGACCCTGTCTCAGAATTAAAAAAATAAATAAAGATGTGAGGATATAGCTCATTTGTAGGGTACTTGCCTAGGATTTGAGAGGCCCTAGATCTAATCCCCAGAGTTAGAAAAACAAAAGCAAAGGGCCAGGGAGATGGCTCAGTGGAATAAGTGCTTCCCTGACCAGCGCAAGGGCCTGAGTTCAAACCCTGGTTCCATCAAAAAAAAAAAAAAAAAGAAAGAAAGAAAAGAAAAACAAAAGCAAAAATACAGGTATAGCATGTAATAAATCATTATAAAAAGTTATTTTTACATAAATAAAACGTAGGTGTTGGGAAAACTGGCTGTCTGCATGCAGAAGACTGAATCTAAACCCAGATCTTTCATCATGCACTAAGCCAAAATCAAAAACGGATCTAATATCTAAATACTAAAACAGAAATACTTAACCTGTAGCGGGAAGATCAAATAAGTAAAACTCTTGAAGACACAGACATGGGTAAAGACTTTCTAAACAGAACCCTAACTGAACAAGAAATACCCTCAGAAATCAAAAAACGGGATATCAAACTAAAAACCTTCTGCACAGCAAAGAAAGCAAGCAACAGAGTGAAGCAACAACCTACAGAATGGAAAAAATTGTTGCCAGGAGTTCCTCAGACAGGGAGCCAATACCTAGAATATCCAAAGTACTAAAGAAAGACCCTCCCCCAAATAAAAGGCCCAATCACAAAATGGGCAACTGAAATTCACAGCTATTGGGCCAGGGAGATGGCTCAGTGGAATAAGCGCTTGCCTGAAATTCACAGCTATTTCTCAGAAGTACAAATGGCCAACAGATACTTGGAAAAGTTCAATATCTCTGG